TTTTTAGAAAGTTACTGTAGATGAAGTATTACAACACGGCATTGGTGATAACTAGGAGCCGTTTTCCTAGCTTAGGTCAAGTGACTGTAATTCCGTTTCTCCTTCCGCCGATGACCATGTGTTCTGTAGATGCAGATCATCAGTTTTATTGCATTTCTGTTACTGTGCCCTCCCCGTTTGTCTAGTGGACAGTGCAACGGAGTGTCCAGCATTGCTTAAAGAATATAGCGCCTATCCCTCCTTTGGGAAACGCTTACACTAGAACATATGAGAAACATGTGTCTAATCACAAATACTGCAGTTTAAAAAAAAAAAAAAAGAAAAAAAAAAAAGCTTTTTCCCTAAAAAAAACCACCCAGTTTTTGAAACCCAAAAGTTGCTCCTTTCCCCAAGGCGTTTTCTATGATTTTGGTGAATACTTACGCTTTAGCGTAACATCTAGGTATGTGGAAAACCATAAATGCACAGTGAAAGGGAACACTTTTTCAAAAATTTACAGTAACAGAATTCAAGATTGCTTTCTCTAGGATTTCAAATATGAAAATATTGACAAATACTGGAGTAAAGAAATTAAACTTGGTTTTCTCTTCAAAACTGGACAAAAGTCAAAGTCTTCACGTGCTACATGTCTGTAAAGGCTCAAATTGCTTTTTTATTGCAGTCTGTCTCCTTCTCCATCTGAACTCTCAGACCAGTCTCTGAGAAATAGGGAGTTTATACATCATCTATATTTTAGGCATTATAGCAACTGAGAGGATTCCTGTGTATTTTCCTCATAGTGATCCAAGTTCTGAAACAACTGATCCAGCACTGACTTCTCTAACTACTTTCATTTAATTAATATCTATTCTCTTTAAATCTGGATATGGAATTTTTAAAAATCCTGCGCTTAGGTTCTGTATACATGGTATGAACTTTCTCATCCTTTACAAAAAAGGCCATAAACCACTGGAAAACTGGGAATTTTTTTTTTCATGAGTCCAAAAACTATATATACAGCTGCCCTGAGAGTTTATGTACTACCTGTGCTGTGAGCCCTTTTCTTTACCATGCCTCACTTCTTCAGTTTAACTAAAACTATTTCTAATAAAGTGATTCAGAAAAGGTTTCTCAATTACAGAGGAATCAGAGAACTGAAAGAATTTAACTAGCTCTTTTCGTGTTGTTTATTCTATTAATTACTTGCATTTTCTTTTGGCAATACTGTAGTAGTTTCTTCATGTGAGATTTGGCAATACTGTAGTATTTTCTTCATGACAGATTTGGCAATACTGTAGTAGTTTCTTCGTTTTAGATTCTTCAGTTGAGAATACTCTGACATGAATTTCAGATATTTTGGCCCTAAAAATTCAGTCATTTTCATGCGACCCCACTAAGGAACCCTTACAAGTGCTATATTGTCATTCTTAACTACTCATTTGCTGTGATATAAATGGAATTAGTCCATAATACCATTTCAAATTCTGAAAAAGTAAGATGAGTCGACAGGCTAAGGCTTTAAAAATGTGCTTCTGCAACAAAGGAGGTTCAGGAACAAATGAAGTTCAGAAACAATGGTATTGTGAAATTAGAGAATCCTTTCTTTTGAGTGAAGTCTGTACTTAAAAGCAAGGCATATTGTTTGCTGATGCAGAAGCGATCTATACCAAATGCAGGTTGAATGTTATGCTATGAAAAGTAAGATTCATTTTGCTAATGTGCATGTAAGGATCATGGGGGTAAAAATCAGAATTTGACTACCACTGGAAAACACCAAATAAAACAAGTTGATTAGTAAGACTTGGGGTTTTGTGGGTTTTTTCGTGTTGGAAGTGAACTGCAAATGGTGGGCTATATCCTTATTGTACGTAACCTCTTTTATAACTACACTAGAGACTTTATTTAAAAAAACAAAACAAATTGGACTTTGTGAGAAAACAAGTATCATTATGAAAACTTTAATTTAATGGTAAAAATGAAGTATTTGCACACACACACGCACACGCTCTCCTCAGCTCATCCAGCAGCTAAACTCTAGGTGGTGCCGTGTGTCCCTGGCTGCACTTAGCACGGCTGGTTTTGGTCCTTTCCGCTGCCCTAGGTTTCCTGCAGTTTTCTTTGGAATTTCACATCCGATAGATGAATCTCCCAGGCAGTGCAAACTAAGCTTTTGACCTTCGTATAATGACGCAATGCTTAGTCTCACAGTCAAAAAAGGTGGTTTATATTTCATACTAGCTAATTCTGACTCATACTTCTTGTAGAAATAAAATTCTTCCCAACTACACAAGGACTGGCAGTAAAAAGATCTCTACTATGATGCCCACTTAGTTCAGCAGCTGTGATTTCTCAGCAAATGGACATGCCTTTTTGCTTTTTAACATAAATGCTTCATGTGGGGAATACTCTAAATTGCCCATTTTACTTTGTCCTCTGCTGTGGGGCTAAATGAATGGGTGTTGTTGATCCCTTATTTCCAGCTTTTAGGGAACCAGCCATTTTTGATGTTACTACATACAGCATATGAATAAGTACAGCTTTTCTCAGAAAATAACAGAAAAATCAAACACTTCTTGTTTAAAGTTTTAACTCCTTGAGAGGAAGGCTGCCTATGCAGGGGGAAAAAACCAGGCAGACAGGAGTGTTTACCAGCTTTAAAAGCCGCCTTCCATTTTAATGAAACAACAAAAAGATTACTTTCATCTACAAAGGAGGAAAAAGTGTAATTCAGCTCTGAAACAGGACTAAAATGGCAAAGTGTTTGATGCTGATGATTCACTTAACTTACTTTAGAATCAGAAAATGTTTCAGTTGGTTACCAAGGCTTCAGCCCATTCTGGGACAATAGGAAAATCCTACAGGTCAAATTTAACTGCTTGCTGTCTTTGCACATTCTCTTTATACTCCGCAGAGGCAAAACCAAAAACCAAAGCAAAAGAAGATCCCAGCTTTTGAATCAGAAGATAATAGTTCTGTCCAAGGTGCATCAGACAGGGAACAGGGTTCTGGTCTTTCCTCAACCAGTTCAATACTGCCTTATTAAAAAACAAAAAATAATGACAGAATTAGTTGTTAAATCAATAGGAAAAAATCTGATTATCGGGAATCAGACTGAGCACAAAGACAGTCACCTCTTCAGTATAAAACTACGCTTTAACTACCATATACAAGCTATATAATACCTTTGAAAATTTCCATGCTAAGTACATACAAAAACATCCATTGTGTTTGCACGTACTATAGCAGGACCCCTCCCCCAGTGCTCTCCCTTCAGATCAGAGAAGGCTCACTGAGCTATGTTGAAACTTGTGGATAAACAGCCAGTCAGTTGAAATAACTGGTATTCTTCTATGCAACACCAAATTATCAGATTTTAGCTCTAGGAATCTAAGCTGTAAAAATCTCAGAATGCCCAAGCTAATCCAGTCACCACTTTTACAATAATTATAGAGAAAATATTGTGATTATTAGCAGCAATAAAGAAGAAAACTTCAAAAGATTTTCTTTAGCACTGCATTTTAGAGATAATGTGCTTTACTTTAATATACAGTTAAAATGTCAAGGAAATCCGAAGTATGGAAGAGTTTAGTTCAATACCAGCTCAACATATTTTGGCAATGTAAAATGCACTGCTGGCATACTGTTCAGCAGAACCACTTTTACAGGAAAATATCTTTCATCTATTTATAAAAAGCCTGAGGTTGATTAAGAGATGGAACATTGCGAGCCTTCCTAAACTTTGTTCTTGTAGGTGAGTATCTATTATAAAAAAGCATTCACTATAATAAAAAGGACATGTTGAAATACCCTGCACTGCACAGTAAACTTTTAAGACTGGATACAGCACATTAGCCTTTCCAGTTGAAGTTGCAAAAGTGCTCAGCGGCTCACCTTACTCATTAACTATACGCTACATATATGAATACAGAGAAACAGGAAAGCGCCATCGCATATTAAGAACAAATGCGCAGTAATAAACCAATACTCACAGACAGTAAAAACCACAATCAGCATATAGAATCAATTGGCTCTCAGGAAGGGGGCTTAATTCCCACCAGCAGAACTTGGAGCAATACAAGCACGAGTCAAAAAGCAGAGCTGCAGTATTTAAGTGCCCTAAGGAGAAGAACCAGATTCTCATGAAACACAGCAAGGAAAACAATCCAGGGAAAATTTCAGCACGCACCATTTCTGGGCCTTCCACTGAACAATTTTTTAAAAGGTTGGATGTTTTAGTAATCAAATCTCTCTGATATTAATATTTTGGGAGGGGAGATGAAAGAAAGTTGGGAATGTATATTTTATACGAAAACATAGTTAAATTATTCACTTCATAGAAAAAAATGCTAGCAGCAATTTAAAAAACAAAAAGCCAAGCGGCTTTATTTCAAGAAAACCAATTAAGATCATATCATTCAAAAACTTTGTCAAACAAAGTCATTACAAGTTAAGGTCTTCAAAAGAGTTTGGACAGGCAGGATCCATTTTCTGAACTTACAGCTTAAAACCACGGGAGTATGCATATGTTTAACATCACATACACATGTGTATAAATGGACACAGCTTTGCATTTTGTGTGTACACTTTAAAACAAAACACACTTAACAAAATGTGGAGCTATACAGACTATACAATTTACACAGCTGGGTGTCATTCCAACCCCAAATATTACCATTTGCTAGGAAAAAGCTTTTACTTTGTACAAGACTTTGACATGAATAAGTTTACCCCTCGCTCAGGAGGCTCAAACTGAACAATAAGCTAAACAGTCAAAAGACTTCATTTCAACTTGTACAAAAGGCATTAAAAAACCTAAAATACATGCTTCACCAAATATATTACATCATACAAGTCAGTGTGGTGTACTTGATAAATCCAGCTTAACTTCATCCACTTTTAATGGCATATTTAGTTGAAATGTAAAACTGACTACACTGGAAAACATTTATTTTAAAATCAATTTCCAAGTGCATTAATTACCTAAAAAAAAAAAATTGCTCTAGCAAAAAAAAAAAAAAAATATTACTGAGTGAAATGAGGAGCTCCCATCCAGAAAAATGTTCTGTGTAAGCATCATGTGGCATTTAATCTGATTCTCTCAACCAGGCACGGTACCCTAGGCAGTGTGAGAGGCATTTTTCTGTCTGCTTGGCAGATGGATTCCTTTCTAGAATGGTTAAATTGTTAGTTGCTCAAAACAAAGTTTAATTTCATAATTGGTGATTTAGCTAGAGATGTCAAAACACACGTGGGAACTGCCAACAAGAAAATATATCACATCTATTGAAGCTCTTTTTGGCCTCATCATGATAATATCAGACACAGAGTAAGGCATGTAGATCATAGCAATTACAAGTCACTCACAATCCTTTTGTGATGGGAAAAGCATTTCACCCTCCTCTCTGTATTACCTGACACAAATTTTTTCACATGGCTTTTGTTACACATCACACAGAGGTGTGCACCGGCGTGGCTGAATGGGAAGGAGATGAACCTCTATCAGAGGAGGAAGAAATGGATCGTGTGGCAGCTTCCCGCTGCAAATCTTCGACCTTCTTCTGAAGCTCCGTCCGGATGGTGAGGAGCTCTTTAAGATTTTGATGGATTGGAACCTGCCAGGCGAAGAAAGAAAAGGCTTACTTAGACTGCCAGTGAGTTATCTTCTCAAGCAATGCTTCCAGTGTTTCCTTCAGTAACACAATGAATCCAACACCTATGAATTTCAGTGTATCAATATTTAGGGAAAGTGTTTCTTTAGTCATTTGAAATGAAACATTTCAGCAAACAGTTGGCAGAAAACCTATTCAAAAGATTGTTTGCTAATGGGACACCAAACATACTCCAATAAATGTACCCCTATCCCTTACCAATACCACTTTTAGTCGAATTTAAAATGCCTTTCCCGGGAACTATTTCCCCTGCCTGTTGGGACAGAACTTACTTTGTAAAGACTAGAGTTCACAAAGCTGGCTCCACATGGAGCATCTTGTTACTCTTCTAACCAGGCATCTTTCCAAGAGTCTGACCCCTTCCAGCTTGTCAGTGAGAAAAGTGCAGCAGCCAAGTGAATTGTGTTTGTGGTGGACCTCCCGGAGTCACACTCTGATAAACCTTTCGTAGAAGTGGATCAGGTTTCTGCCTCTACTTCTGACAGTGCCCAAAAAACACCAGAGATGCACCACTCTGCATCAGACTTCTAGGCATTTTTCACGCTCATCTGGAACATTCAACTATATCATAGCTAAAGGAAGACGCAAGCCACACTGGTTTTTGCAGCTGGACCTGTTATCTCAGAAAAGTACAGAGAGACCTCCACTTCTTCCAAATGCCACAGAAAGGCCGAAAAAGTTTGACTGTAAATTGCTTTTAATTTATTTTATCCTGTATAAACGCTAATTGTTTACAGCTTTTGGAAAGAGCAAGATGGGAAAATAATTTAATTGGGCTGGTGAGACAATCATGGGGAAACGCAGCAATGGGAAACCTATGGATTGCTAGACATTGTAATTTATACGCTGGGATTCTGGAATGCCAGGCTCCAGGGAACTGCATTCACTCACGATCGCTTCCTACTGCTTAAAGATGATTACAGGGCTGGGATGCACACCTGAGCACGAAATTCTCACACGGTGCTATGTGAAGAAGGTATCAAAAACCAGAAAGGCTTTCTCTTCTTGCCATCAACACACAACTCAGTCACAATTTATGTTTTTGTGAACTCAGGCTTTTTAAAAAAAGTTCATCAAAAACCCATGCATTTGATTTCGACATTTTCAAAATCTAACACTTGTGTTTCTGAAACAGGAAAATACCATTTCATTTCTAACTTTAGTTCTAACTTAAAAGAATAAAAAAGCATCAAACAGTCTGGGTTAGGTCAACATCTTTTTGGCCATATGCTTTTTCTTGTTCGTGGCTTAGCCCATGAACAGAAACTTCAGTGTATTCACAAAGTGCTCCTCCCAGTACCCTGGGAGTCATCAATTCATCCAGCATGCCATCTACAGCAATTTTAAAAGCGTAACTTTTTGAGTCTTCAGCAGAACAATCGCTGCACACCACCAAGCTCCCAATGACCCCAGAGTCCTGCCTTCGCTATGCAATGAATTCCTTCTCTTCTTGCAATCTTCTCCTGCATCCGCCATACAAACTCTTTAGCAAGTGAGGCCACAAGTCTACAGACAACAGCCTCTTTCACTAATCAAACACAAAGCACACCCTCCAGAAAGCCAATCTCGTTTTTCTGAGGTGGTCTACAGAAAATGTATACACCTAAAAACATGGCAAAACTGAGTCTGGTGATGAACAGTTGGTGTCCAAGATGCTGTAATACACACTACGGAAAATTCAAATTTCACTGAAGACCAAGACTTTATGGAATTAGCACTCCCCTTCTATTTTTTTTTCTTTCCTCAAGTAAAAGATCCCTTCCTCATGCACTCCTACATCAGATTTCTTCTTTATGAAGACATCTTCCTGAAACACTTAGGTCTGTAACAGAGTGATTTACCATTGGTATCATCAGTCACGCAAGCCCTGGGTCACGGGAGATTTGTACACCTGATTTCTGCACAGCTTAATCATGATTCAGCATAACAGGCCAATTTCTCTTAGACACCTTTCACACAGGCATTAGCCGGTGTGTTCCACTGCACAATGCTCATAAACACTCATAAAAAGCAGTTCCATACAACTGGCTTTTGGGGAACCCACTACAAATCAGGATTTCAGGATACACTGCACAAAAGCTGCTGCAGAACTTGGCACACTGTGTAAAGTGCTTCAAGGAGGAAAAGTGTGGCTGCACATCTCAATCCTTCTTCTGCATTCCCCCAGAACCTAATTCAACAAGACATATACTCAAACTTTGACGCAAGTGCTGTCCTCCCTATGCGTCTATCTGAAAGAACAGCACCGCCTTTAAATAAATTAGCCAAATAACAATAATGACATTTTAAAAGTCTGTGTATATTCAAGTCACACAAAAATACTCTTCAACATTATGCATCCTTATGCTCTCAAAAAATTAGGAGGTGTCAGAATGAAGATTAATTCTCCAAACTCAATTCAGCCTTCCTGTGTATCTGTCTAAAATCGTTGGTTAAATAAACGTTAAAATACTAGTTTCCCCCTTGTATTCCTCCTTTATTCAGTGCACAGTTTGATGCTATTCAATTAGTCAGCAGTTATTCAATATTTAGTTTTCTTTGCAGTGTCTGACCCCATCCTTTATTTATTCTTCTGAACTTAAAATGCTTAGGTTTCCTTTTCTGTACTTTCATCTCATGTCAAGAAACAAATTTATTTCCATAGCACCCTAATGACGCATGGGAGTACTAACACTCCACTTTTACAGACAAGGATCTGAAGCAAGCACCTCCTAATTTTGGATAGCTTGATCTCAAATTGGTTTAACAGAGAACTTAGGAATTCTGCAATTTGGCCTTGTGGGCATCAAGCAGGACACCCAGTAAATAAGGAGCACACACATGGTGACCACTCTGCTAAAGGGAGATCACATTCCACAAGAAAGGAATCCTGTGGCAAAGCCAGGGAGAAGCTTCATTTCTCCAGAGCAGCATCCTGCTCCCTCACCCGTGGGACAATTTTTTCTTTATCTGCATGCATGCCCCCTCCAGCCTACTTTCCCAGATTGTATTCCATGGGTTGAACAGAAAGCAAAGACCTCCAACAGTTGGAGCGTTACTCACTCCTAGTTCCTATTCCCAGTTCGTCACAACTCTCATAGACTCTGTATCAAATCCATCTCTCAGTCCTTTTACTCTCATTTATTCTCAGTCCTTGAGAATTCACTGAGATTGTTCCAGCCTCAGACCTCCAAATTGGATGAATTTCTTCCAAGATATGAGCAGGCACATTTCTGAAACATAATCTCTCTTACTAAAATCTTGTGTTTGCCCTAGAGATGGAAAATTTACAGAAAAACAGCCCCTCGCCCCAACAAAAGAAATCTACAATACCAACATTTTCATATGGGAAAACATTTTTCTTAGTCACATTCTCATAAGCAACTGAGCATTCTTGGATGAAGTTTTACAAAACAATTAAGTCACACACACATACTTGGTGACTCAATACAAATCATTAAAGTTTGGCAAAGCTGTAAGCAAGGCAGAGTAGGGTCTTATAATGAAAAAAAAAAAGGGTCACCTTTAAAATGTTGGCCATCTTTTAATAAGTGCATGTTAGATGTAAACACTGCAAGACAGTTCTACATAAATATCATCATGCCATTTCACATGGTAGTGTAAACATGAACGGTTTTCTAATGTCAAGTCTTTCCCAGGAGAAGATTCTTGTACCTTGCCATTTAACACAGCATCGTGTAGATGCACATTGATGTAAAACAATAAAATTCCAAAAATACATTTCACACACTAAACTTCCAATAGATACTTTAATTTCGTGAAATAACATGTCAAATTCAGTCTAGAGAAATCTTTAGCACTTTCAGAGTATTTTCAAGCAGCTGACAGTAACCAATTTATTAGTGATAAAGGTCCAGTTAGAATTACATACTCACGGGGTAAGAAAAAGGTGGTGTAGGCAGCTGAAAGATATAAAAAAAAAATTATAGAAGTTCTTATAAAAAGACCTGAAAAGCAGCCTGGCATGAGGAGCTGTGTTTTCCCCCAGATGTCTTCAATTCTGCTACTGTAACTTCCCTTTTTTGGAAAAAGCAGCAAATTCAAATGCAAAAGAATGAAAAAATAGACAATGGTGCTAGGGGGAAAAAGGGGGGCAATGCCCAAAACAAAGCCTCAACCTCAAGTCATGTGTATTTTTTTTTAAATGAAACCATTAAGAGAATCAAATAGAACTGGAATTATGCAGCTTTCTGAAAGCCTCCTTCCATCTTGGAAGGAGGAGGAAGAGTAAGAGGACGAAGCATCTTCAAATTAATTCTGTCACAAAAACCATTCAAATAATAATAAAAAAGAAGTTTAGTTCATTTCCACATTTCCTAAAGACTTATTCCCAGGCAGACCTGTTGCTGCCAGTGTTTCCTCATACCATCCTGTGCAAATTCTTACAGATAACTATCTCCATTTTTGTCACTTCACACCATTACATTTCAGCGTGCGATTCCTCTCTCAAACAAAGCCTGCTTCAGAAGAAAATGGGTCCAACAACCTTCACAATAACACCTGTAATGGCTTGCTGTGAACAAGGTTCTCCTTTACTTTGCCACTTTAGAATAAAAGGAAGTGTGACAGATTCTGTAAGGAACAAGAAGTTTGGAGAAGATCATTTATTAAAAGATCTTGTTACCACCTTAACCCTGGAAGTGTATACTTGCAAAGCACAAGTAGTATCTCCATGGCAAGCTTTTATTACAGTCTTGTTAAGAAATCATATAATTGATTTGACTGAGATGGATTTGTTGGGAGTCTGACAGCAGATGTACTGTTTTCTACCCTCTCACGCCCCCTCTCAAATTAGGAGTGGAAGCTCAAAAGATGACTCTGGACCCACCACCCAGTCACATTCAAGTTATTTTTTTGCTGCTCTACTCCACGGTATCGATACCAGGTTTTCAGAAGAGTGTGCATCCTTTCCTTTGTAACACCAGCTTCCCAGTGTGTTGCTG